AAATGGCACTGCCGTCGATGCCAAAGAACTCTTCTCGTTGTTTGATTGTATATTTAGTACTTGTTTTGAAATGTTTAGCACTGGCTCATCCTGTTTTACTTCTAATGGGGTCAAATCAACATTACGCAACGGTACTTCCTCTCTCTGTGCGATTTTTACTTGTTCTTCCACCACTTGGTCTTTATTTTCCGCAGTAGCTTCCGCTGACTCCTTTTCAAAAATATTCCCTAGCGCACTACGGATTGCAAGATCTAAATCATCATCCTCGTTATCAACTTCAACACTCTTCAGAGCAAAATAATTGTCTGCCTCTTTACGTTCTTGATCTAGTTCCCCCTTAACCAAAGAGCTTGGAATCTCCGTTTCAGAAGGCTTATCTCGTCTTGTCGAAAGTGCTTTCACAGAATTGTTCTGGACTTCTTCTTGTGCTCCTGTTTGCATCAAAGAATTGATCTCCAGTACCAACGCTAAGTCCTCTTGATGGCGCACTTTGTGAGAGTCTTCTTTTGGAGATTTCTCGCCCTGGCTTGGCACTTGATCTTGTAATAGGTTATCAAAAGCACTATCTATAGCATCATCCAATTCTTGATTCTCCGGTACTGAGGGTGCACTATTTAACTCAGTCAGCTTTGGCAACGTGTCACCCTCTGTGTAGCCATGTGTAGGATGTTTCAGTTCATCCACATCTTTAAAACCTTGTAAATTATTCTTCCCCTCTTCCTCATTGTGTTTGTCTCTGAAGTCAAACACATCATTCAAAGCATTATTTATTGCGTCCTTCATCCCATCGTCATTGTCATTTGTAGAGTATTGAGAGCGATTCTCACTCAACCTTCGGTTATTGGACTCCAAACTTGCTCCCTCATCATTCACCTCTGGCTTCTCCATGGAGCTAAAGTCAATGTTATCAAATATTGCCCCAATAGATGACTCAAGCTCATCATCGCCATATCGCCGTAGATTTGAGGATGAAGTATTATTGCTGTGATTATTCAGTTTAGACATAAATTTGTGCCTTTAAATACAGTTTCAATGCTTTGTGCTTCTATAATACAAATGTTGTACTAGTATGGCTCCGTAAAAGTGTGGATATGGAAGTTCCCTAGTACGTTTTTTTTAAAGAAAAGCAGGAAGTGAAAACAAAACAGAAACTATTTTTACACAAAAGTTCACTAAAAAGGCTACCAAATGAATTCAAAAAATATCTCTATACATACTCTACTTACCCTCTCTATTGTTCTTCCTTCTCTTCTGTCTTTAAAGCAAAGTTGATGATTAATCCCAACTTTCCAAGACCTACACCATCAATTCCCCCTTCCTTTATGACCCAATTGACGTTGTTTAAAGTGTCGTTGGCATATCTGCTGACATCGAAGTCAAACTTTGGGATTGAAACTAAATACTTTGAATCTGCAAGCTTCAAGAAGTCGGTGTCAAATTGAAAATCATATTTTTCCCCTTTGATGAAAGTAAACTCATCACATTTGGGCTTGGTGTTGAAACGTTTCTTTCTTTCATTTGATGATTTAGGGGCATTTTCAACCTTGCCTTGGAAATCCTCCTTGTAGTTCATTGGATGTGATTTTTCATTAATAATACCCAAAGGCTTTGGTTGGTTTATGCCAATATAACTGAAACTATTCAAGGCCAAGCCATAAAGGTATGGTTTGTCATTGTAAACGTCACCCTTGACGGTGTCATTAACAAACCAATTGAACAATTTTAAGCCGGTGTTCATCAAGGTCGTAGGGACATAGTCTTTAATGGAATAGGTGAAATCGTTACCAAATAATAAGTCACCACCTTTGATATCTTCTTTTGGTGTGAATTCGATATTGATTCGCAAATTAGGTTCTGGCCCTTCAGCCTTTGCGGTTGGGTTAAAATCAATTTTCTCACCATTGAGATATGTCTTGTCCTCTTGGTTGTATAGACTATTCGACAAATGGGGTTGGGAGCCATCAAATTGTTTTATATTGACTAAAAGTTTGAATACTCCAATATCAGACTTGATTTCAAGTGGTTGGTTGGTATTTACTGGAACAATCTGGAAATTTGAATCATAGTTGTTGGAGGCTTTAATAAAGAGCCGTTTGATAATTACCATGGTTTATGATAAGGCTTGAGATGCTATAGAGAAACTTGTAGTGGATAAAGTAATACTTTTGTGAATTTCAGGTCTGTATATTTTATACTTGAGAGCCAAAATCGTTTAAATTGCGGCGAGGATTGTAAACGGATTTAAGGAGTTTTTAATCCGCCATATTTAACGCGACACTAATGGTACATGTAAAGGATTTTACGGGATGATAAGAGAGCAAACAGGATACAGGATGAGGTTATTCGAATTCGGCAGTAGGTGGTGCCTGTTTTTACATAAGAGGGTACTGTTTAAATCCTTGCATCCCATTTTTACCCAGTGAAAACCATACTCCAATCCAGCCCCAAACAACTAAATGACATATTTAAAGTCACAGCCAAAACCAACACTTGCAACTACTAAGCCTCAACTTTAGAATCGCGTATCCAAGTTAGCATAATAGTGTTGTCAGTGAAACTTTCTTGTACACACAGCTTCTCAATAGCAACATAGCAATCTTGTGATTTTAGCATTTTGTGCACCGAAGATATTGTGGCATATTATATAATTTCAAAACCATATTTAATAATATAAATAGATTAAAAGGTTCTCGCAAGTTAGCAAAAGCATCTACCCTACAACAGTCTCCAAAAGAAATGTCCTCATTTATAGTAAAATGGGTTGCTAACCGACTTTTGAAAGATAACCAATGGAACAAATTAGGGGTTGAAGACCCTTACTATGAATATGTTCCCATTGAAAAGAAAAATGGTACCAAGTACAAGAAAATAACTCGAAGAATACCTCAGGGAATTTCCAAGCATGACATTAGCGTCTTGGAAACTTTCAAGAAAAAGGCATATAGATACGATTACTGGTTCAAGTTGCTCGGGGTTCAGTTTGGATGGGCAAGCATTGTCAGTGTGGTCCCCGTTGTGGGGACAGTAATACAAACTTACTGGTCATTGCAATTATTGGCGCTTGCTCGAAAGATACAGGGTGGGTTGCCATTGGATTTACAATTATTATTCTTGTTGAATATTGTAATTGATTTTGGGTTGGGATTCATTCCCATCATTGGAAGTTTGATTGAAATAGGATACAAAGCAAATTCGAGAAACTTTTTATTGTTGGAGAAGCACTTGATAAGGGTGGGACAAAAGAATCAGGGATTAATTTCTGAAGATGAGGTTCGTCCCGGTTTCATCAATGATACTGTGCAACCATTTGTTGATGAAAAGGTAAAGCCATTCGTTGATGAAACGATTAAACCAGGTGCTATCAAAGCTGGCGACCAAATCTTGGAATTGCTACAACGAAAGCCCCGCAGCTCGAGTATTTCTTCGACAAACTCTGGTGTCAGTACCAAAGGCACCAGTGGGTCCACGACACAAACAATTAATGCTACAGTCACCACTTCATCAAAGCCACTGTCCATATCCGATTCGAAAGTCAAGGAAGCTGATGCCTCTTTACTGCATCATAATATTAGCTAACGTGATTGTAGAAAGGAATGATCTAGTTCGTGCAAAAATGGATTTTAGATCTCGTAAAGCATCCTATGTTTTAAAATAGTTTAGTTTGTAATAAATAGGATAAAACGATGTTTAATTCTGCAAATGTCTTTACCTTGAATTTGATTTACTAACTAGCTCTTTTGGGAAGTTCTTTAGTAATTGTAGAATGAAAAACGAAAAACAGTGTAACCATAACTGCAACCATTTTTTCCTGATTATCTCTTTTGATATCTGCTTATTTTCAATGGAGATGTATTTTCCCGAAATGGTGTCTTAGACTTCATGAATCTCAGATATCAAAGGTCACACATTTTGCGACAAAAAGGCTTCGCCAGGCAATGCGTAGTGCGGCTTTTTGCCGAGGTTGAGTGAACTAAAAAAAATAAAAAAAATTGAAGAATTATTCGTGTTCAAGGGGCCACTACCACAACAGAGGCTGAATCACCAAAAATGACTTCTGAGAGGGATGTGTCAGCAAATGGGGACCTTAAGGATAAGGCGCAATTGGGCCAAAGTGGTTCTACCGAGGACAATACCAGTCCACAAAAATCAGACACTATACCATTAGATACACTACAGACGACGAAACCCACGTCACATCAAGACAACGACACTGATGACGTTGACTCGGCTTCCCTCAAATCAACAGATGGTGTTGTCGATAAATCAGAATCTGGACTAAACAACTCAACTACCGACGAAGCTCCAAAACCCACCGAGCAAGATTTGAATCCAGAGTTGGCCAAGTTTATGCAATATTGTCAAGAAGGATCACTTGATTCGGCAAAAGCGTTAATTGAGTCGGGATCCGCAAAGGTTAATGATACATTTAGTGACGGTATTAGCGGACTCCACTGGGCCTGTATCAACAATAGGCTCACTTTGGTAAAGTACTTGGTTGACAATGGAGCAGACCCAAATTTGTACGGAGGAGAATTGAGAGCCACGCCACTTCATTGGGCTTGCAGGAATGGACTTGTCTATATTGTTCAGTACTTGATTTCAAATACTTCGGCCGATCCAAATTTGCGGGATTTGCAAACCTACAATGCACTTCACTTGGCCGTTCACAGTTCAAATATTACATTAGTTGTGTATCTATTGTTGAGCTGTTGTGACCAAAACAGCAAGAAAAAGTTGTATATTGATGAACCTGATGGATCCAACAGAACAGCTCTTCATTGGGCCAGCTATCAAAATGACATTTTTACAGTTAATGCATTGTTGAGGTTTGGTGCGGATGTATCGAAAACTGACGACAGTTTGTTCATTCCTCTACATTGGTGTTTTATGCGTGGCCACAAGAATGTGATGAAGGCGTTAGTGGAAGGTGGGTCGGACATCTTTTTCAAAAATGATCTGGGCAAAGATAGCTTTGACATAGCAAAAGATATGAACTGCTTACATGCGTGGCAAAAGGTTTTGATAGACTCTGGACGAGATCCCAAGAACAACTGGGCACCCAAGCGCAGATGGGTTGGCCCCAAAGTAGGCAAGGTGTCAACATATATTGCCCCATTCCTTCTTTTACCCATTTCCTTGAGCATATGTACGACGTCTCAGGGCTTGGCTTTTCCAAAGTTGGTCTTGGCATTTGCGTCTTTTGCATTGGGGATCTATATCATCAGCAAGACCATAATACCAACGTATTTAATTGATGACAAGCCACTTCCAAAGTCGCCAATATTAGCTGGTATCTTTTCAGCCACCGCATTTTGGTGCATCGTAATCTGGAGTTTTGCGATACTTCCTGCCACCTTGTTTACAAATTTCATTCCCAACATTTTCATGAGCATTTTCATTGCAATTTTCGTTTGGTCGTTTTTCAAAGCTATGTTTATCAATCCAGGATTCGTACCGACCCCGACTGATAATGCAGTAATCCTTGCTCAAGTTGAGGATTTGCTTAGTTGTGGGAAATTTGACACTGACCATTTCTGTGTCAACTCATTTGTACGTAAACCACTTCGATCAAGGTACTCCAAGCACAATAAGAGGTTAGTGGCTCGATTTGACCATTACTGTCCTTGGGTTTACAACGAAATCGGAGTGAGGAACCATAAATTGTTCATTACTTTTGTTTATGCTTTGAACTTGGCCATTCTTTTCTTCACCTATTTGACAATAGAATATTTTGACAATTTAAAAGACTCGTTTGATTCCGATGATGAGGATAATCAAAGCTTCTTCTGCAGAATGATTGGTGATGATTTATGCTATGGGTACAAGAATAAACAATTCCATTTCAACTTGTTGGTGTGGTGCTGGTTACAATACGTTTGGATCTTTTTCCTTTGCTTGGTTCAAACTTTCCAAATCTTGCGTGGATTGACTACATGGGAATTTAGTTCGTTAAATTCAAGAATTATCAACCCAAGACTGAACCATTCAACGGTCCCAGAGGAAGT